AAGGCGTCCTGTACCAAATCGGTACCCAACAACCGAGCCTCCCTCGATTCAAACCAGCCAACTGGGGATCGGCATCGCCATCCGTATAATGCCTCATATGGACCCATCTAAATGCTCAACTGGTAGCTATTATTATAAACAAACTCCGCAAGTGGCAAAAACTGATCCCAAGAACCTCCAAAGTCTATAAAATAAGCGCAAAGCATATCTACCAATATCTGAATGGTGCGCTCTGACAGTCCGTCTGTCTGTGGATGAAATGCTATACTCAACTCAACTCGCGTTCCTAACTCACACTGTACTGCCCTCCAAAAATGTGAGGTAAACTGCGTACCTCGATCTGAAATAATAGACACGGGCACACCGTGAAGGCGGACAATCTCACAAATGTAAATCTCAGGTAACCGCTCTGAAGAATAGGTAACTGCTACCAGAATGAAATGTGACGACTTGGTCAACCTGTCCACAATGACCCAAACTGTGTCAAATTTTCTCTGAGTCCGTGGGAGCCCAACCACAAAATTCATAGTGATACGTTCCCACTTCCACTCAGGAATCTCTAACTTCTGAAGCAAAGCACCAGGTCTCGGATGCTCGTACTTAACTTGCTGACAATTCAAACACCGAGCTACATATGCAACTATATCCTTCTTCATTCTCCTCCACCAATATTGTTGCCGCAAATCTTGATACATTTTGGCGGTACCTGGATGAATAGAATACCTCGAACTGTGGGCCTCTTCCAGAATTAATTCACGAAGCCCATCCACATTAGGCACACAAATACGACCCTATATTCGCAGAACTCCATCTTCCCCCACAACAACATGTTTGGCATCACCGTGCCGCATCGTGTCCTTAAGGATAAGTAAATGAGGATCATCATACTATGTCTCTCTGATGCGCTCATATAAAGAAGACCGAGCGACTGCGCAAACTAGAACCTTACTAGGTGCTGAAACATCTAACCTCACGAACTGATTAGCCAAAGTCTGGACATCCACAGCTAACGGTCTCTCACCAATTAGAATATTAGCAACGCTGCCAATACTCACGGCCTTTCTACTTAAAGCATCAGCCACCACATTAGCCTTTCCGGGGTGATACAAAATGGTGATATCATAGTACTTCAACAACTCCAACCATCTTCTCTGCCTCAAAATGAGATCTTTTTGTTTGAACAGATATTGAAGGCTACGATGATCAGTAAATACCTCACACGAGACATCATTGAGGTAATGCCTCCAAATCTTCAGTGCGTGAACAATGGCTGCCAATTCTAAGTCATGAACAAGATAATCCTTCTCGTGAACTTTCAATTGCCGTGATGCGTATGCAATCACATTGCCATCTTGCATTAATACTACACCAAGTCTAATGTGAGATGCATCACAATATACCGTATAAGATCCTGAACCTGTGAGTAATACGAACACTGGTGCCATAATCAAAGCAGTTTTGAGCTACTAAAAGTTCAACTCACACTCGTCTGACCATCTGAATGGGGCACCTTTCTAGGTCAGTCTGGTTAATGGGCTTGCTATAGATAAAAACCCTTCCACGAACTGACGATAATAACCTGCCAAACCCAGAAAACTCCGGATCTCTGTAACTGAAGTAGGTCTAGTGTAACGACTCGGCCGGCGTTTCGAGAGTTATAGACCTGTTTTCCCTATTTTGCTTCTTTTTGTGTTCTTCAGCTCTATTGTGATATACCGGGTTAGTTGGTTCGGGTTCAGAGTGAATTGAGACACATAGTCTCTTAATTGAAAGCTTAAGTTGGAAAAGTTGACTAGAAGTTGAGTTACGTGTAAACAACCTCGGATTTGAATTTTGATGGTTTCGTTAGCTCTGTTAGGTGATTTTGGACTTAGGAGCGCATCCAGAATGTGATTTGGAGGTCTGTGGTAGAATTAGGCTTGAATTGGCGAAAGTTAGATTTTTGGCAATTTTGGCCGGTAGTGGAAATTTTGATATCGGGGTCAGATTGGATTTCCGGACATTGGAGTAGGTTCGTGGTGTCATTTATGACTTGTGTGAAAAAATTGAGGTCATTCTAACGTGGTTTGGTAGGTTTCGGCATCGTTTGTGGAATTCAAAAATTTCTATATTCATTAGGCTTGAATCCGTGTGTAATTTGTGTTTATGGTGTTATTGAAGGTGCTTTGAAGGTTCGACTAAGTTTGTATGATGTTATGGGACACGTTGGTATGTTTGGTTGAGGTCCCAAGGGCCTCGGGTGAGTTTCGGGTGGTTAACGGATCATTTTTGGCCTTGGTGAGATTGCTGATATCTGCTGTTGCATTCTTCTGGTTTCCTCTTTCGTGTTCGCGAAGAGTATTTTCTGAGTGGTGAGATTTTGTTCTTCGCATTCACGAAGGGAAGGATGCGAACTCGAAGGTATCGTCTGCGTGTGCATCTCCAACGCGGGAGCAGGGTCGCGTTCGCGAAGAGGAGTGAGGCAGTTGGGGACCCCAGGTCCTTGTTCTACACATTCGCGAGGTGGTGGTCGTGTTCGCGAAGGTCTGAGCTAGTAAAGTATCTCATTTGCGAGGCATGTGTCGTGTTCGCGAATAGTAAAGTGGAGAGGCAGTCAAGTTGGTCTAGCGAACGCGAGAGGACGGTCGCGTTTGCGAAGAAGGAAATCTGGCCAGACAGTGTTAAATTTAAAATCGAGGGTTTGAGCTCATTTTTCATATTTTGAGCTAGAAATCACGGATTTGGGCGATTCTTGAGGGGGTTTTCGCGGAGTTGATTAGGTTAAGTGTTTCTCACTTGGTTTTGGTTAAATTCCATGATTATATTATGATTTTTATCATCTAAATTGTGATTTGGGGTGAAGAATTGGGGAAAAAGTGAAAGAGTTCTTGAGATGAAATTTTGAGGTTTTGAAGGGGATTTTGTTGTTGGATTTTGGTAAATTTTGAATGACTAGACTCGTTAGTGAATGGGCTTTAGGATTTTGTGACTTTTGTTAGATTTCGAGACGTGGGCCTGGGGGGCCGGGTTTGAGTCGGTTTCAGATTTTGGCTCTAATTTAGTAGTTTGCTTGTGGAATTGATCCCTTTAGCCTTTATTGATTGTGTCGTATTGCTTGTGGCTAGATTCAGGACGGTTGGAGGCCGATTTGAGAGGCAAGGGCATTTCAGACTAGGATTTTGCTCGATTCGAGGTAAGTAACGCTTTCAAACTTGGTTCTGAGGGTTCGAAACACCAAATATTTTGTAATGTGAATGGTATTGAGGTGACGCACATGCCAAGTGACGGGCATGCGGGCGTGCACCGTGAGAAATGTGACCTGGGTGAATGGTATTGAGATGACGCACATGCCAAATTTTGGTGTTGGGTTGTTGAGTTGAGGCTCGTCTAGTTCCATGATAGGCATCATCATAACGGGTTAGGTTTTGGGTCGTGACATCTAGGCCAATTTTGAACAACGTCAATCTTCTTAGGATCCACCTCTATGTCTTCTGCCGATACAACATGTCCCAAAAAGGCAACTGAGTTTAACCAAAACTCGCATTTTAAAAATTTAGCATATAACTGATTATTCTTCAAAGTCTGAAGCACACTCCGAAGATGGTTCTCATGCTCCTATTGACTGCTGGAGTAATTCAAGATTTCATCAATGAATATAACCACAAAAGAATCCAAATAGGTCTTGAATACTCGATTCATCAAATCCATAAATATTGCTAGGGTATTTGTCAACCCAAATGACATTACTAGGAATTTGTAATGCCTATATCGAGTCCAAAAAGATGTCTTAGGGACATCAGATGCACTAATCTTCAACTGATGGTAACCAGACCTCAAGTCGATCTTTGAAAACACCTTGGCACCCTGAAGATGATCAAATAAGTTATCAATTCTTGGTAATAGATACTTGTTCTTGATAGTAGCCTTGTTCAATTGTCTATAATCTATACACATTCGCATTGAACCATCTTTCTTCTTTACAAAAATACTGGTGCACCCCAGGGCGAGACACTAGGTCTAATGAATCCCTGATCGAGCAAGTCTTGTAATTGTTCCTTCAATTCTTTAAACTCTGGCGAGGCCATATGGTATGGTGGGATAGAAATGGGCTAAGTGCCCGGAGCTAAAACAATACAGAAGTCAATATCTCTGTCGGGCGGCATCCCCAACAAATCTGCAGGAAATACTTCTAGGAATTCACGAACAACTGATACTGAGTCCATAGAAGGAACATTCGCACTGGAATCATGAATATAAGCCAAATAGGCTAGACACCCTTTCTCGACCATACGTCGAGCCTTCATATAAGAAATAACCCTGCCGGTAGGGTCAACGTCTTCATGCAGGAGGTAATCCCGGCATGGCTAGTGTCACTGTCTTGGCATGACAATCCAATATAGCATGATAAGGTGACAACCAATCCATACCCAAGATGACATCAAAATCTACCATATCAAGAAGTAGAAGATCCACACTACACTACAAGAAAAAAGGCCTTTAGCGAAGGAAAATTCGGTCGTTAAAAGTCCTAATTCGGTCGCTATTAGTCAATAGCAACCGGAAAAAAACCGGTCGTCAGNCAACCAATCCATACCCAAGATGAAATCAAAATCTACCATATCAAGAAGTAGAAGATCCACACTACACTACAAGAAAAAAGGCCTTTAGCGAAGGAAAATTCGGTCGTTAAAAGTCCTAATTCGGTCGCTATTAGTCAATAGCAACCGGAAAAAAACCGGTCGTCAGTGGTCATTAAAAGCCTCGACGTTAAAAGTTCACGACCGGATTTCTAATCGGTCATTAAAGATCCTTTAGCGACAACAAAAAATTCTGTCGTCATAGCTTATTTTTAGCGACTGAAGTTTTCCTTCATTATTTATTTTTCTGGTCGTTAAAAACCTGTAATGATGACAACAAATCCAACTAATGTTAGTGCTTTTAGTAGAAGGATTTTACATTCGTTAATTTTCTATTAACTATTACTATAACGATATATTAAAAACCTATATACACACAGTTGCTCCAGAAACATAAGAAATAATCAATATTCCTATAAATTTCACAATTAATTACAAGGGACAAAAGCAAAACACTACCAAAAATATACATATCCAAAATGGACAATAAACTTGTCAACTCCTAACAAAACAAAGAATAGATTGTAGCATTAAAAATGGAAAATCTGTTAAACAACTCCTAACAAAAGAGAAACTAGGCTCCTCTTCTGGTTCAACTTGTTCTTTAGCATTTTCAGTTGCTACTTGCTCTGCATTTTCTTCAAGGACAGATTCTTCCAACATCAGGTTTCTTATCTGTTAAAAGAAAAAATTCTTATCAGTCCAATAAAATATACTCCTAAAAGCTTTTTCTTTTTCTTCTTTTTCACTTTCCAACAAAATGAAGATTAACCACAAAGAAAGCAAGCACAATTTTATAGGAATCATCTAAATATTCGAAAAGAGAACTAAATTGATTGAAACTTCCCAAAAAAAGCAATTACAATTTATCAGACAAGAGTATTCCAGGAACAATGAATATTGAACCAGAAGAAAGATCGAAATAAAGACTAACCATAACTAGCTAATATTTTAATGGATACCATAACTAGTAAATAAAAAAAGTTGAGCATTTCCCAGTCAAATTTTAAAATTTTATGTATTCTTTTATATGTAAACTGAATGTAAAAAGTTCTATTTGATCTACATATGCGAAAATAACCATAAACAGTGGAAGGCATTACCATCATCTGGAAAAGTGGAGTATGACATTGTCCCTCTCTCCGGAATAATATGTATTGGAAGCAAACCATCATCTGGAAAAGTTCTATTAAGTTCTAAGATAACATTCTCCGCCTGAAATAGGAACATATGCCATTCGGTCACTAGCAGGACATTGATTTCAAGTATGTGTAGCTTAATCAATTGCCTGACATGCCAAAATTTCGAATTATAGTTTTATTTACTAGTAGCTATCAAGAAGTTATATTTTTTGAGAAATTCTATTGGCACATACCTTCTGTTTATACTTTGGGTCTCCTGTCCTTTGCGAAAGAGCAATAAATTCAATCTACTCAGAGGCAGAATCTGGCAGGATACTATTACCCTGAGAGTAAGGAGCACAATAATTTCACCAAATTTATGATAGAACTATAGAGATGTAATTACATATGTTTTCAATGTGTTCATGCATAGAAAATTCACACATTATACATCACATGCCACGAGACTGAACTATTCAGATTTTAAAAGATAGTCATTGGTGTGCAAAAAAAGATTCTGTCCAAGGGTTGAGAAGGAAAAGAACAAGTAAAGAAACCATATAACCCAATGGCTGCACAACAACCTCACGACCATGCAGCTCCCCATATGCCCCAAAGAAAAGAAATAAACAACAATTAAAAAGAAGAGAGTTGGATTCCCACCGGAGAAAATTTCAGCAAAAGCATCACAAGATGGCTGGCTGCACAAACAAGTTGAGAGTATGTGGGAAAGTTTCCTAGAACTACAATTGCTAAGTTGCAAAGGACATATTTCTCCTAGCAAGCTAGAGTGAGTTGGGAGAACGCATGGAGGATATGCGAGAAAGAGAGAAAACAAGGATTGGATCATAAGATCCGTTAAGTATATGTAAGAAAATTAGAGCATTTAGTAACCTGCGATTCTTCATTCACACAGTTCCCCTTTTAGATACTCTTCTCCTAATGATGTAGGGTAAAGCATCAAATGAATCGTCAAATAAAATTTAGAATAATGCCCTATATCCTTTTCAGCATGAAATACACGAATTATACTACAACAGAAATCAACCTGAATTTGGTAGAGTTCAAAATTACCCCTGTCCACCCAGGATTATGCGGATTCCCATGTGACAAGTTGATAATGTTGTAAGGGATGCACTTTATTGGAAAAACTCATGTGAGTTAGTAAATCAGTTACATAAACAAGCAAAAGCATTTGAAAAAATAAAAGGAACATGAGCTATTTCTGTCAAGGTACGCTCCACTCGCACTGTAAATACCCCACCTTTATACACTCCACTAGCACTATAAACACTTTACCTTCCTCTAAGTAGTGCAATGGTCATTCAATGATAAAAGCAAAATAAAATAGATTCAAAAAATAAATTTAAGATTGTCCTTTCTCACTGGTCATCAGTCTCCTCGAATACTGAAGCACCACAATCAGCAGCTTCAAAAAACCCTTTTATCAACCTCAAAATACATTTTCCAACACCTCTAGAATTAGAAGAAAGTCGAAAAATAATCCCAATTAAAAAGAAATTAACAAAAAATCATTTGCAACATGCTCATGATAACTAAAGTTCTTTCGATTTGATGATCCCTACAACTATTCTTTTTGCTGCTAAATATGTTTGATTTGCTTACTGTACTTTATACTAACCATGATTACTAGAGTTTTAAAATGAATGTAAAGCTTGCATTGCAGACGCATTTATAATCTTATTATTTGGCTATTACTTGCTGTGCTCTTACCTTATTTACCTTTCGTACAAATTTTTTAAGGTGTTAGTTTTCTAGCTCAAAAAATATTACTTTTTGAAATTGGCTAATTGTGGTAGTATTTCAAATGCTATAGTATTTGACTGTTTCTAAGAAGGTGGATCTTAGGATCTTTCACTGTTGTATTCCATTGTTATTTCCCTTTTCAGTGCTAATGTTACTCTACTTTTCTGGTATCTATCATTTTTATGTTGCCTCTACAAGGCAATTATGCTCTATATGGTACAATATTTTGTAGTTAATCAAATTTTAGAGAAGATATTATATTTCTTTATTCAAATATGTATTACTGAAAATTAAAACATGTATCGCAAAACATATTGACTGAAAAAAGGTTCTTAGAGTGTATTTAGCAGTGGGGATGAAAGATGCTAGTTCTAAGGCTCCAATATTCATTGAGGAAATTAGTCGAATAGCTGGTGAGCAATTCCATGGAAAATTATAAAAGTGCAATCTCCAATAGATCTCAAAACAATTAGGGCTAAGTTATCACAACAATCTTTCACCAATTTAACACAACCATCACAAATGAATCATCACAAATTAAATATCAGAAGAAAAGCAAGAAGAACAGAGACGAAGTTCGAAATTGAACCAAGAACGCACCCGAAGCTCTCTTAGAATATCTCTAGGTTTCTTAATTTGTGGCGACAGAATCTCGAGCTTATTCCTATGCTGCCCAGTAAAACCTTGAAGCTTATTCTAAAGATTCTATATATAAGAAATAAAGAGAAAGCATGAGAGAATATCAAATTACAAAAAACTGAAAGTATAAAAAGTATGTCACCAAGCACTATAATTTATCCACATATTTCAAACAAAGATACGCCTTAGAGAATAAGAATTTTGAGTATGCGAGATGAAGACTTGGCAGTTTCTATTGCTAAGCAGTTCTGTTTTGAGTCAAGGCTTTTTTTCTTTATTATTTATTTATTTAGAGGGGTGGGCGGGGAAATATTACGGGAAACATGCGTTCTTTTTGGGTTTAATTTTGTTGTAGTATTAATGAAGGGATATTATACTATTTAGCGACCGAATATTATTCTCCTATTATTGCTGAACTAAAAATAGTGATTTAACGACGGGAAAAAATTTTGGTAGCCAAAAGTATATTTATAACGACCGGACTCATGTCCCTTCGTTAAAAAATGATCGTTAAAAGTCAATATTATTGTAGTGCTAGTCTCAAGACTACCAATAGTAACCACACACGAATAATAGACATGATTTACTATAACAAAGTCTCCCACCAGTGTAGATACACACACAGAAGAACTCAGAGAATCACGAGGCACAACCAAATATAAAGCGAAATAGGAGGACACATAGGAATAAGTAGATTCTGGATCAAATAGAACTGAAGTATCTCTATGGAAAACTGGAATAATACCTGTGATCACAACATCAGATAACTCGGCCTCAGGCCTAGCTGGAAAAGCATAAAATCGGGGTTGGGCCCCACCACTCTGAAATGCGTCTTTGGGACGACCCCTAACTATCTGGCCTCCACCTCTAATGGCCTGACCTCCACCTCTAGCTGCCTGACCCCTACCTCTAGCTGGCTGAGCAGGTGGTGAAGCAACCGGTGCCGGTATGATGGCACGAGAATCCTGCCAAGATCTGTTACTCGACAACCTAGGGCAATATCTCCTGATGTGACCAATGTTCCCACACTCATAACACCCATCCTGATGCCGTGGCTGCTGAAACTAAAGCTGACCCGAACGGGCCGGATAACCGCTATAGTGACTCTGAGTGGTGGTGCACTGATAGGAGCTGAATGTGCACTAAATGCTGGTTTCCCAAAGTAAGGCATAATAGGACCGTGACTCCCTGAAGCACTGGGAGATGCCTGAAGTGCTGAATGAAACGGTCTGGGAGGATGACCCCTACCAAAATTACCCCTTCCTCCAGATGAGGCACCACTGAAACCACTGAACTTACAAGGCCTCTTATCAGACCTCTGCCCTCTCTCATATGCAAGAACTATCTCGATACTCCTCACGACATTAGCAGCCGCCTGAAATGAAATCTCAATTTCGGTCTCCTTGGCCATCTGAAGCCTGATAGGGTGAGTGAGTTCCTCAATAAACCTCCTCATTCTCTCTCCCTCAGCAGGTAGTAAAAGAAGAGCATGATGAGTTAAATCCACAAAACGGGACTCATACTGAGTAACAGTCATACTGCCCTACTATAGATGCTCAAATTGTTTGCGGTAATCCTCTCTCAGTGTGATAAGAAGGAACTTCTCCAGAAAGAGTTGCGAAAGCTGCTCCCAGGTAAGTGCACGTGATCCAACTGGTCTGGTCAATGTATAAACTCTCCACCACCTCTTGGCGGAACCCGTCATCTAAAATACAGCAAAATCGACCCCATTGGTCTCAACTATACCCATGTTTCGCAGCACCTCATGGCAGCGGTCAAGATAATCCTATGGGTCCTCAGAAGGTGTACCACTGAAGTGAACTAGAAAGAGCTTAGTAAACTTATCTAGTCTCAACAAGGCCTCAGAAGACATGGCAGGCCAATCATCGGCCTGTGCCGCGACAACTGGCTAAACTACCCCAACTCGCGAGACTGCTGGAGCCTAATTCTGGGGAGCCATCTGCTCCGGAGCGGGAGTAGTGGGAGTTTGTTCTCCTCCCCAAGCCTGTGAGATGGCTGGTGCCACTAGAAATGTACCATTCTGGGCCACGCCCTCCATAAGACTTACCAAACGGACTAGAGCATCCTAAAGCACTGGAGTAGCTATAAATCCTTTCGGGACCTGAACTGGTCCAACAAGTACAGTCTGAACGGGAACCTCCTCCTGAAGATCCACCTGAGGTTCTATAACAGGTGTTGTCGCTCAAGCTCTAGACTGAGCTCTACCTCTGCCTCTGCCTAGGCCTCTAGCACGACCTCGGCCTCAAACTCTACCCCTAGTCATAGTTGCCACCGGGGGCTCTCGTCCCTGTCCATCGGTAGATGTATTACATGTCCTTGCCATCTGCTAGAGAATAAGAATAGAATGGTTCAATCATCGATGATAGAATAAAATCATACAACAGGATAAGAAATAAGTGATATTGTTCCTAAACTTCATAGCCTCTGAAAGATAAGTACAGACGTCTCTGTACCGATCCTTCAGACTCTACTAAGTTTGCTCGTGAATCGTGAGACCTATGTAACCTAGTGCTCTGATACATACTGTCACAACCCAAAATTCCCATCTTCGGGACCGTGATGGTGCCTAATATTTTACTTGCTAGGCAAGCCAACGTTAGAATAATATTAGCCATTTTAAAATAATTTTAAATTAATTAATAGCAAAGAAATAAATGCAGAAGTAAAGTCTGAAATGTGGTGAATAATCCATAATAATAGCGATGTCTAAATACCATCCCATAACTGGAGTCACAAGTGCACGAGCTTCTAGAATAATACAAATAATGGTCTGAATAAAATTCAAGTTGTTTGAAATATAATTTACAGCCGAGATAATATAGAAGGGGACTTCAGAACTGCGAACGCTGTGCAGTTATACCTCAAGTCTCCACATGTAGCTGGATCTGGGAAAATCTACAGTACGTCGTTGCGACCAACTCCGAAATCTGCACAAAAAGTGCAAAGTGAAGTATCAATACAACCGACGCCATATACTGGTAAGTGCCGAGCCTAACCTCGGCGAAGTAGTGACGAGGCTAAGGCAGGTCACTTACATTAACCTGTATGCAGTAATAATATTAATAATTGAAATCAATTCAGCAGTTACAATCCCTCAACTTGTTTCCATTGCGGCGTGCAACCCGATCCCCCAATATAGACTTTTAAATAAGTCTGTTGCGGCATGCAACCCGATCCCCCAGTATAGACTTTTAAATAAGTCTGTTGCGGTGTGTAACCCGTTCCCCCAAGATAAACTTTAAATAAGCCTGTTGCGGCGTGCAACCCGATCCCCCAATATATTTAACAACTCATAAATGTAATAAAAATTACTCCAATAAATACTACGTTCAATGAGAAACTATTAAGCATTAAGGCACACAATAATTATAATTTATTTATGAACAAACAATGGTAATTAGCAATTAATTATGGAAATCATGGAGAAATTAGGCAGTTTAATATTTAGTATGCTACATGTCAGATAGCAATTAAGACACACAAGTCAAATAAGCATGTGACAATTATTGCAGAAATTCAAGAATTAATATTTGACAAGGAATATGAGTGAAATAATTAATATAATAATTAATTCATGATTTAAAATGATTTATGATTTCTCAAGTAATTATGCAAATAATTAATTTGATGATGTATAGACACTCGTCACCTTGCCTATACATCATACACATGCATCTCACATAACAAATAATTTAAGGGTTTTATTCCCTCAAGTCAAGGTTAACCACGACACTTACCTTGCTTTGCAACCAAATTTCAAGAATCCAATAAATCTTTGCCTCGCGAATTCGTGTCTGAAATCCTCAAATCTAGTCATAAATAATTCCATATACTCAATACAAATCGTAGGAATTAATTCCATATGAATTTACAAATTTTTCGGATAAAATCCGAAATTCATTTTAAAAATCAATAGTGGGACCCACATCTCGAATCCTGGCAAAACTCACGAAATCTGAACACTCGTTCTGATACGAGTTCGACCATACAAAAATTATCAAATTCCGACATCGGATTGGCTTTCAAATCTTCATTTTACATTTTTGGAAGATTTTATAAAAATCTAATTTTTCTTCCATAAATTCACGGATTCATGATGTAAATGAGTATGGAATCATGAAACATAGTCAATATAGGATAAGGAACACTTACCCCAATATTTTACCGTGAAAATCGCCCAAAAAGAGTCTTACCCGAGCTCAAAATCGAAAATGGTGGAAAATGGGTCGAAATCCCATTTCCAGAACATAAGTTCTGTTTGCCCAGATTTTTACTCATCACGATCGCGAAAATTCGTTTGCGATCACGTAGAGCAACTTTTGCCAAGGTCCATTTTACTCTTCGCGATCGCGGGAATGGCTTCACGATCGGAAAGCACAATTTGCACAGGCTTCCAATTTGCTCTACGCGAACGCGGCATCCCAAACGCGAACGCGAAGCATAACCTCGTAGACCTATGCGATCGTGGACCATTTCATGCTAACGTGAAGAACAAATTTGAGTGCCCCAGCTTCTGCCTCATTTCATCTTCGTGAACGCGAGACTTCGATATCGAATGCGAAGCTTTGCACTTCGACCCTTCGCGAACGCGTGCCCTCGGTCGCGAACACGAAGCACAAAATGTGCCAGTCCAACTTTCCTCTTTGCGATCGCAGGAATGGCTTCGGGATCGCGAAGCAAAATGCACCATATGACAACAGAAGCTAAAAAACTAGATTTTTCTCAAAGTTCAAATGGTCTGTAGGCTATCCGAAACTCACCCGAGCCCTCGGGACTCCAAACCAAACATGCACACAAGTCCAAAAACCTCATACGAACTCGCTCATGCGATCAAAACATCAATTTAACAACTAGAATTACGAATCGGACACCAAATTAAATGAAATTTTTAAGAAAACTTTAAAACTTTTATTTTCACAACCGAACGTCCAAATCACGTCAAATCAACTCTTCTCACCAAATTCGACAGACAAGTCATAAATGATATAACGGACCTATGAAAATTTTCAGAACTCGAATCCGACCCCGATATTAATAAAAGTCAATTTGTAGTCAAACTTTGAAATCTTTAAGCCTTTAGGCTTCTAGTTTTCGCCAATTGACGATAATTCAAGCTAGGGACCTCCAAATTAAATTCCGGGCATACGCCCAAGTCCTAAATTACGATATGGACCTACTGAAATTATCAAAACACTGATCCGAGTCTGTTTGCTCACAATGTTGACAAAAGTCAACTAAGTTGAGTTTTAAGACCCTATTTCACATTTTAATCTATTTTTCATATGA